GCTTCGATCACGCTGCTCGCAGTCCGTTTCGCAATTCGATTCTCAGTCGCAGCTACAGCTCCCGCAGCAGCAGGAACGGACCCGTGGGTCGTTTCTGCTACAGCCCAACACGCTCGTGTCTTCCTCTGTAGCGTCGTCCGCCGCAACCTCGGCTGTAGTCGTCACCATTGGCACCAATGTGCCGTCAGCTGGAGTGAATTCCGGGCTACAGTCGCAACAGCCGCCGCCGCCGCCGCCGTCGCGGGCCAGCCTGGCGGTGGCGCTGGCGCACACAGGCGACGGCTCGCTCAGCGCCGCATCCTGGCTACAGCCACCACCGCCGGTGACGCCGCCGCCACCGTCGCGAAACAGCGTCCCGCAGCAGCAGCGGCCGGAGCAGCAGCAGATGTTGACTCAACAGCTATCCGAGTCGTACGGATCTCAATATGTCGTATCCACGTTGCAAAACATGTACGGCGGATCTACAGGGCTGAGGCCGCAGCTGCAAGCCGGGACGTGGGGTCAGGAAAGGTCGATGCCGACGCCGACGCCGCCGCCGACGACGACGCAGCAGCAGAGGCAGGCGGAGGTGTTGGCGGCGACGGCAAAAGCGGCGGCTGAGAGGCACCAAGGTCCGACGTCAGCGGAGGTGGCGGCGGCGTTCGCGGCGTACCTGTCGGGAGGTACTGGCGGCGGTGGCGGAGGCGGTGGCGGAGGCGGCGGCGGCGGAGAGCGGCTACCGGGTGCTGCTACAGCTGGCAGCCGCCTGGTCCCCGCGCGCCGGTGATTCCTGTGCAACCACAGCAGCGAAGTGGCTCGCCGCAGCCGCCACCGTCGCCGTCGCAGCCGCCGCCGTCGCCGTCGCAGCCGCCGCCGTCGCCGTCGCCGCAGCTGCGTCGCCGTCGCCGCAGCTGCCGTCGCCGTCGCCGCCGCCGCCGCAGCAGCAGCCACCGCCATCACAGGTCGAACCTGCTGCCCCAGGAGAGGTAGGAGGGCGGCCTGGCGTATCCGGCAGTCGTACGACACCGCTGCTGTTGCCGTCGCTGGAGAAGTCGCCAAGTCGCCGAAAAGGTTCACAGCTGGCGGTGACGGCACGTCCTCACTGTACGGCGGCGCCCGTGTAGCCACGGCGGCGGCGCCTTCCGCCGCTGATCGCGCTACTTGGGCGCTACAGGGTGGTGGCGGCAGCCGCCTCAATGACGTGCGTGGCGTGCTGCGTGATGGAAAGGATGGTATCGGAGCGGGATGCCGTGATGTCCGGGAAGCCGAGCCAGAGAGGGTGTCTCTGTCTCCTGGGCTTCGACTCCGCCTCCGCCAGGATCTGGGCGCGGAGACCGCAGCGGCAGCGGAGGCGCGAGGCGGCGGAGGCGAAGGCTCGGAGAAGGGCATTACCCTTGGCGGCGGCGACGGAGGCGACGTAGATGATGAAGACGACGGAGGCAGTGGCGGCGCCGAAGAGGAAGTGGAGCCGAGTGCTGAAGCTCCCGCCGCCGCCGCCGCCGCCGCCGCCACTGCCTCAGCCGCCGCCGCGGCTCCCACAACACCCGCCAGTGCGTTCCACAGCGGCAATCAGTCGGGCAAGTCGTTGGGCGGCGCTGGCAAAGGTAACAAGCTCCGGGAGAAGTACGGCACCAAGGCGGCAGCCATGGGGCTTTGTACGGCACCTGATCGCAGCAGCCGCCCCGCGCAGACGGCACCAGCGACCCTTAGGGCGCAGATGCGCGCGGCGGCAGTGATGGCGGCAGCGGCGGCGGCAACTCCGGCGCTCGCGCGTTGTCAACCGTCATCGCGGGAAGCGCGGGTCGCATCAGCGGCGACGGCGTTGCGTCGCCGTACGTCCCACGTGGATCAATGTCAGCCCGGTTGCCGTCACCCATGCGGCCCAGAGGGGATTTCGGTAGTTACGGCGGCGGCGGCGGCAGCGGCGGCTTGGCCAGCGGCGGCAGCTTGAGCGAGGGGGCTTTCGCCAGCGGCATGATCGTCCTTGGCGGCAGTGGCGACTCGGCGGAGATGTCAAAGCTGCCGCCAGTGTCGGAAATCCCTATGCCGTACTCGATGTTGGGAACGTACGGCTCCGGCGTTGGCAGTATGCGAGGCCGGCTGGTATGCCCTGTCGTGGAGGAAGACGGAGAGGGAGAGGGAGAGGAAGTAGGCGACGCGCCGCCACCACCGCCGCCGCCGCTGGCGTCTCAGCAGCAGCGGCATCAGACGACACCGCAACAGACGCGATCCGGCAGCGGCGGCGGCGGCGGCGGAGCCGCCGCCAATGTCACGGTTCCCCAATTTGGGTCGTGTTTGTCGTCCGTTGTTCACATTTCCGTACTGAACTGCATGCCTGTTTACCCGCCGCCGCCCCTCCATAACTCCAATCCTTTGCTCGTCTCCCCCCCCCTCCCTCTCTCCCTCCCCCGCAGCTCCCTTCAGCATGTGGTCGGGTGCGGCCGTCTCCACCCTCTCCGCCTTCTCACAAACCGTGAGGTCGCTTCCAAGCTGCCATTCAAGTCCTCACGGCGCCGCCAGGGCCCAACACCCGCCCGCATTGTCGGGCGGCGGCGGCGGCGGATCTCACAGGCAGTTGCTGACGTCAATGTCATCGATCTCGTCCACTGCTACCGCCGCCCCCTCTCCCGCCGCCGTCGCCACGCAGTCGCCGCCAGCGCCGCCGACAACTCCCGTACAGCTATCACCGCCGACAGACGCTGCGGCGGAAGGCGTTACAGCGAGCGGCGATGTACGGGACGGATGCGGCGTCAATCGGGTGCCGCAGCGGCCCTCAGACATCGCGGAGCCGCCGCCGCCGCCGCCGCCATCGGGCCTGGCGCCGGTAGGTGCGGCGGTAATGGCGGCGGCAGCCAGACCAACGAACCAGCTGCCGTACGCACCGGTCGCGACGCAGGTTGAAGCTCCACCCCGGGGGCTTGTCGGAGGCCTTGCGCACCCAGCAAACGTAAGCGGCTTTGGCGGCGACAGTATCACATCGCGACGAACGACAGACGGTGTCACAGCCCTGGATGCTGATGCCGTACCGCAGATTCCCAGCACAGGCAGCGGGTACGATGTCTGCGCCCCTGTTTATGTGCCGTACGGTCGAGAGATGGGGCTCAGGGGAGGTGGTGCAAGAAGCGCCATTGTCGTCGGCGGCAGTAGCGGTGTCAGTGCAGGCGACAGCGACGGCGGCGGTGGCGTTGGCAGTGGCACTCTGGGTAATAGGACGCTGTCGTGGGCCTTACGCACAGCGCCAGCGGGGTGGGATTCCGGGTTTTCCCGTACGGGGTCGTTTCCCGATGGCCGCACCCGCCGCCGCCGCCGCCACGGTGGCGGCGGCGGCGGCAGGGTCGCCGCCGGCACCGGCATCGAGGGCGCCGAAACCTTGGAAGTAAACAGCGGCGCTCCCGTCGGCCGTACGGCAGGTAGGCGCATGGGACGAGCTGCTGCTGCGGCGGCTGCTGGCGCGGAGGCTGCGTTACCCAGACCCGAGTTCACGTTCGGCGAACCTAGGTCCTTGTGTTCCCGGAGGCGCTCGTCCATGGCCGTTGTGGTAAGAGCCGTTAGGGGTAACGGCCACGTGATAGTAATGGCAGTTAGAATCGTTGATTACGACGTTGAAGTTCATCTTGCACAGCCTTAGTGAAATTCATTCTCCTTCAGGACGTTTCTTTCCTCACTCTTAACCCTAAAACCTTCAAGCCATAATGCCCTAAAACCCTAAAATCCTAACATTCACACCGCAGGTTGCTGCCGGGGCTGGGTCAGACACCAGCAACGCAATAACAACGGCGCCACCAGCCGTACATTTGCAGTACGATAACTTCCCCGGCGTGTGAACACCCATATCCGCCGCTGACATCACTCGTACGGCGGCGCTGCCGTACATCTCCATCGCTTCAACCGGGGACCCGGAATCGCCATTTCGCGCCACAATGGCCGCCGTGAGTACGACATCGTCGCCGATCCCGTCGCCGTCGGCAGCGGCGGCGGCGACGGTGGCGTCGTCAGAGTCCCCCCGACCTCGGAGACCGTCAGCATGGCCGTGGGCTTCCCAGGGGGATCGCGAGGGCGACGGGGGAGCAAAGCAATGCCGCCAACACGGTACGGCAACGCCGCATCCCCCGCCCCCGCTGACAACTCCCGCCGCCGCTGCCGCCCTTTCCATTCCTTCCGGCGGCGGAGCGTTCACTCCATCGGCTCCGTCAGGCCCGCAGCGATCCGTACACTCACCATCTGCTGAGACAGCCTCGAGGACGACATTATGCCGTACAAGTAGCGGCGGCGGCTTCGACGCTTGTTGTGCCGGTGTTTTCGTATGGGGCGAAGTTTGGGTACCTGATTTTATTGGTGTGAATTTCGAGTGCGCAATGGCGAACCCTATGGTGCCCGACTACGGTTTCACTTTATCGCGAGCTTGTCGTAATTAGTACCCCTAGCTTACTTAGAAGAGTTCACTAGGCGTCTAGACGCCCGGTGGGAGTGCCCGGGTACCCTAGGTAATCCATGCACCTTCCAAAGTGGAAGTACCGGCGTCAAGGCATGTCGCTATCTGAACTGGATAGGGGCGCCCCCACTTAGGGGCACGCGGCATAAGTGGCTGGCCCACGCTGGAACCGCCATGCTCCAACGTTTGCATCGTGTGCTTATACGTTTCTGGTTAGGCTGTTGGGAGTTAAGAGATTAACCGGCCTAACTGCCGTGAGTGCACAGCGTGCACCTGCAGGCTTTGTGACGGCGGGGCGGTTGAAGACGAGATGCATGTTTTTGCGGAATGCCCGGCGTACAATAGCACACGGGCAAAGTACGATCGTGACCTCGCGTTTCAAGTGCATGACCGAGGCCCCACCCCTGGTGCACTAGCCAGGTTCCGCTCGGAAGTCTGGGAGGCCCGGCATGTTGCTTTAAGGCGCTTCATGCTCAATCGGACGAGGGAGGACGATGATGATCCACCATGTAACCACACTAAGACGATTTACTAACGATGAGAATGGAGGCATCAGACTGGCACTCTTTACCTCGAAACCTCATAGTCAAACCCTTAGAAACGGAGAAAGGCGAAGGAGGGACGCTTCCCTATCGCAGCAACAACATCGAACAGTGTGCTAGGTATTTCGGAAGTGCAAAGTATGCAAGTCGAAGGGATGAGTGCAGAAATTCGTCCTTGTGTTACAAGATTGACGAGGCTCGGCAATTAGAGCAGCAAAGACAGCAGCATCCTGATGCATGAGGTGCGACTAATGACAAAGTCTGCATAAGCCGAGCAAACTTGCCACTTGCCGAGGCGCTGCTCACACCCACACGAACGAAAATCCTCCCTACCCGCGATATGACCCATTGTGCAAATGCTCTGCAAGGAAATCCCCGCCTCCTCAATCAAGTCATGGACCTATCCGACCAATAAGCGGGCATCGTTCAAATGGCCAACAGCCATGTGAAACACAAAACTCAGATATATGGCAAAAGCAAACAGTTGGCAAGCCTGCCATAATGAAGCGTCCTCTTGTGCCGCTGACCAACACAGCTTGGTTATTGCCGCGGGCTCCACAATGCGGAAGTGGAGACCCTGCATAAGAACAGACGAAACGGTTAAATATGCCAATTCCAACGACTAACGGTTGGATTTGAGCGCGAACAGCAGTTTACCCCCCAAGCTTGCGGCCCAGACTTACCGTGCACGATACTGTGCTAAGGCGCCTCACGTACGTCGCAGCCTCGTTAGACCTGAGGCCGCGCACTCGTGCAGCTTTCAAACAGAAAGCCTGTGGAAGTGGAGACCCTGCATAAGAACAGACGAAACGGTTAAATATGCCAATTCCAACGACTAACGGTTGGATTTGAGCGCGAACGGCAGTTTACCCCCCAAGCTTGCGGCCCAGACTTACCGTGCACGATACTGTGCTAAGGCGCCTCACGTACGTCGCAGCCTCGTTAGACCTGAGGCCGCGCACTCGTGCAGCTTTCAAACAGAAAGCCTGCGGAAGTGGAGACCCTGCATAAGAACAGACGAAACGGTTAAATATGCCAATTCCAACGACTTACGGTTGCATTTGAGCGCGAACGGCAGTTTACCCCCCAAGCTTGCGGCCCAGACTTACCGTGCACGATACTGTGCTAAGGCGCCTCACGTACATCGCAGCCTCGTTAGA